GGGGTGTCTCGGCCGGCAACAGGGCGAACACTTGGTGTGAGTCGGGGTGACGAAGTGGTCACCCCAGACCCTTCCCGGACACATATGGAGGGGAGGGCCTTCCAACAAGCTGCCTTCCAACCCCCTGCCCCCCACTTCTCCTTCCATACGATGGGAACACTAGACTTGCCCCCTCCTTGATTCAGAGTAAGCAGAATTAGCTGCGGCCCTTTGAGGTTTTCCTGAGAAAAGTGCCATCTCCCTGGAGGAAGGTGTTAGCTCGTTATCTTGCCGGCAGGGATCAGCTGTTACTAAAAGGCGTCAGTTTTGCTGTGATCACAGAACAGGCTGCTGAGAGAGCAAACTCATAACCCTGGCAGGTGTGCCCGAAACGTAGTGCTCTTTTCTGTAATTTCTACTGTGAAGCCCCATTCGCGTACCGGGTGGCGGTCACCTCTGGGCTCCTCTTGTTTTCCCGTGAGGCTGGGCTCGCAGGGCGAGGGGCACGGGGCGCTGGGCCCTCAGCTCTCCGAGAACGTCCCACCGAGACACCTCTCATGCGGCATCTCTGAAATTCATCTCAGGGCACGAGATCTCTGCAAGCTGCCTCTGTCCCTCCTGCCGGACACAGGCTTTGGGCTGTGATGCTCTGTGTCCCGGCACCCCTCCTTCCAGATGCCCCTGGGGAATGGAGTCCCAGGTCTCCTCTGCACGCGACTCCCCCCTGGCACGGAGCTGGAGGGACTCGGTCTCCCCTTCCTCCGATTCTTTTCCCTCCCACTCCCTCCCCACCGGAGACCATTATGACCTGAGGATTAGGAAAACTGGCTCATACTCATCTATTTCCTTAGGGTTCAGGCTTTTGGGATTCAAAAGTCTTCACTCTTTCTGCCGCAGGAGCTCCCACGGGCGCCCTGCCCGTCCGCGTCCTTCACTCAGCCTCCAGGGCCAACCAAGGGCAGCGTTTCTGTGCCTGGTGGCTTCCTGCGGCCACCGGAGCCTGCACCGTCTAAGCCACACCCGGCTGGAAATGCCGGGGTATCAGGGCTCCCCAGAGGCAGCCCCCAAAGCACGGCAGCCCCGGAGGCCCTCAGGTGGGATGGCCCCCGGCGCGTGTTCGCCGCCATCTCTTGACGTTCCCCAGCGGCAGTACACTCCAGTCGCCACGGTGGGGACTCCCTGGACGGAACACACTGGGTAACTTCCATCACTCTGGCTCTCCTGCTGCCCCTTGGGTGTTTCCTGGGATCTCCCAAGGAAAATCCCTCTTCTCCATCGGGAAGCCAGCCCGAGGCGGCATCCTCTCACTAGAGGTGATGAGCTAGACGCCAGGCTGAGTGAGCGGGGAGGAGACAAGGGGTAGGAGGAAATAGGGTGGGGGAGGAACCATTAGTTAAAAGTTCAAAATATTATGGCGTAGCATTGAGAACTCAAATAAATCGAGCACTCCTTCTGTGCCTGGCACGGCACTTGGCGTTTCGCATAAATTATTTCGTCTGATCTTCTTGGTAGCTCTGCCCTAATGACTCTGTTCTCCGAGCCCAGGAAATCGAGTTTCAGGTCTGCTCACTGGGGAGATGGGCAAGCAGGGACGGGAACTCAGGGCTTTCTGTCCCCTTGGGAAGGTTCTGGAAATTCCTCAGCTAGTGGAAAGGATGCGGTGTTTTGGAATAAGCCTTTACGTTCTGTTCCTACCAGCTCTTAAGAATGATAGTAGCCACCTACAAATCTCTAAAGACTTCTGCCTTTAAATCTTTCCTTAACAGATTATAAGGTCTCGGATATTTTTGAAGCGAAGGGTTCTTGCTGGTGGCACGCTGCTGGGAGGTCCGTAATGATATCAGAGGGACAGAGGGTGGATGAGGTGGTCTCTGCCCTCCCTTCTGTGCAGTGGTGTTGTGCCAGCAGATGTTGAAACCGGCTTTCAGGATTAAAAAATAAAGGACCGACTTGTAGCATTCACCAATTCCTGTGGTGTCTGTGCTCCCACCGTGGCCAGTTCAAGCTGTGAACAGGACATTCCTGACCCCGAGGTTGGGACGAGATGGGGATGTGAAGTTCTGCACTGTGTAGCACCGATGGAAGCAACATAAACAGTCTCAAGAGCCTTGAGGACGGGACGGTGTCATAGAATAATCCTTAAGTGCCAGGCCTTATCTAGTAGCTGTTATGAACTGGATGTTTGTGTCCCCCCGAAATTCATATGTTGATGTCCTCACTCCCAGTGTGATGGGAGTAGAGGTGGGAGGTGATTAGGTCATGAGGTGGAGCCTCATGAATGGGATTAGTGCCCTGATAAGAGAAGACCCCGCCTCTGAGCCAGGAAGTGGGTCCTCACCAGGCCCCGACTCTGCCGGTTTCCAGAACTGTGAGAAATAAATGTTGGTTGTTTAGCCACCTAGTCTAGGATATTTTTGTCGTAGCAGCCCAAAGTACCCTTTAAAAGAAATTGAGTAACTTTACTCAATAAAGACAGTACCTTTTTTTTTTTAATTGAGACAGTGCCCATTTTAAATTGAGGTAAAATTTCACATAACATTAAATTCACCAATATAACTAAAGTATACAATTCAGTGGCATTTAGTACATTCATAGTTTTGTGCAACCACCCCCTATATCTGGTTCCAAAACATTTTCACACCACAAGAGGAAACGCTGTGCCCAAAGAGTCACTCCTCATTCTCCCTCACTCTCTGGCCACCACTATAATTTGTTTTCTGTTTCTAGGAATTTTCTTATTTCAGGTTTTTCATACAAATGGAATCATACAATTTGTGACCTTTTGTACCTGCTTCTTCCACTCAGCATAACCTTTTCAAAGCTCATCTCTGCTGTAGCATGTGTCAATACTCCGTTCCTTTCTATGGCTGAATAATAGTTGATTGTATTGTTACACCGCCTTTTGTTTATCCACTCATCAGTTGATGAACATTTGTGTCATTTTGACCATGTGGCTATTGGGAATAGAGCTACTATGAACATTCATGTATATGTTTTCTTTTTAATACCTGTTTTGAATTCTTTTGGGAAAATTACTGGGTCATATGGTAATTCTATATGTTTAACTTTTTGAGGTACTGCCGAACTGTTTTCCAAAGTGGCTGCATTTTATATTCCCACATGCAGTGTTTAGGGGTTCTAAATTCTCCACATCCTCACCAACACTTGTTATTTTCAGTTTATTTTTATGATTGCTATAGCCATGCTACTTGGTCATATCTCACTGTGGTTTTGCTTTACATTTTACCAATGACTAATGATATGGAGTGTCTTTTTACCTGCACTTGTATATCTTCTGTAGAGAAATGTCTATTCAAGTCCTTTGCTCATTTTTAAATTGGGTTATTTGTCTTTTTGTTGTTGTGTTGTAAGAATTCTTTATATATTCTGGATATATCAGATATACGATCTGCAAATATTTCCTCCCATTCTGTGGATTGTGCTCTTTGATGCATCAAAGTTTTTAATTTTGAGAAAGAGAAAGTCAAGAGAAAGAGAAAGTCAAATTTCTCTATTTTTTCTTTTGCTGCTTGTGCTTTTGGCATCATATCTTTAAAATCTTTTACTAACTCCAAAGTTATGAAGATTTAATCCTACGTCCTCTTCTAAGAGTTTTATAGTTTTAGCTTTCACATTTAGGTTTGTGGTCAATTTTGAATTAATTTTTGTATATGGTGTGAGATAGGGATCCAACTTCATTCTTTTGTGTGTAGATACCTGGGTATAGTATCTTTGTTTTTAATATAATTTATTTAGTTGTAAGTTTATATAGTTTAACTTTTAATTATGGCTGTGTTTAACCACTGGCTTGCAAAATTCCTGAAAATTTAACAATCAGCACTCTTGAGACGAAGTGGGAGTGGTCTGAGCTGGCTCTGGCATGCTGTGACTTTTACCACACCCTACTTAGACAACCTTACTGGTATAGACAGGCATGTAGATATTTTTCCTCTGGGACCTGAGCTGGGGGTGGGTGAAGTGTGCTTATGGAGTTCCTGGGGGGCAGGTGGCTGGGAGATGGGAAATAGGACCTGGGAACCCCTGATCCTCTAGCCATGGGGCTGTCCAAAATTTCCTCATTGCACCTGGCCTTTCCTTTGTGATTTGAAGAATGTGGCCAGGCCTCTCCTGCTCCTTTCCCTAGCATTCACCCTGTAATTCTTCTTGGCTTAGAGGGAACCAATTTGGTTTCAGTTGGATCTAGAGGAGCTTTGGAGGCCCCACCTTTGAGTATAGACCTAAGCCTTGACCAGAGACCAAGGAATTGTTCCTTTTGCTAGTGGTATCATCAGATCAAATACAGGGTAACCAATTACATTTGAATTTTAAATAAACAATGCACAGTGTTTTAGTATAAGCATGACTCATGGGTGATTTGGGACATACTTATACTAAAGAATTCTTCATTGTTTATCTGAAATTCAGATTCAATTGGGAGTTCTGGATTTTTGTTCGCTAAATCTGGCAAGCCCCCCTATGGGTCAGTTTCGTCCTGTAGCTGAGACTCAGAGCCCCAAAGTGGGTTGGGCCCGACTCCTGTCAGTCTCACGGATCTGGAAACTGGGTCTCAGATGAGGAAAGGGACTTGCATGGAATCACTGTAGACTTTGAGGACTCCAGCAAGCTACATGACTTTTCTTTTTCATGAAGTCAGCACATTTTCTGAGTGACTTCTTTGCAGAGGGTGCTGTGCCAATGCTAGGGCATAAGGGCAACAGACCTGCTGTGGACCTATGTAGAGGACAGGAATCAGGCATCCCCTGTGGTCATGTTAAATGACAGATAGGATTCAGACAGACCTTGGTCCAAATCCCATTTTGCCACTTATCAGCCATGTGACAAATAACTTTTGCTCTCTGAGTCTCAGTTTCCCCTTCTGTAACATGTGATAAAAGTACTTTTCCTGGAGGATTGTAGTCAGGCTTCAGCAGGGTGGTGAAATGCCTGTTGTGGGTAGGGAAGACTTTATGTATGACGAGAGAAGAGTGGAACCCATGGTAAAGTTTGGTTGTTGCCCACAGGTTGCCCAGCATCTTGGACTGCCCAGATGGTGTGGAATGGAGGTTCCAGAACCCACCTGTCCTGCCCCTCCTGCCAGGGACCAGCCAGCTCCCACTCCTGGCCCCCCAGGAGCCCCAGGTGGCCAAGCCTCACCTCACCTGGCCCTGGGCCCTGTCATCCTGCCTCCAGAGCAGGGCTTGGCCCCCACCGTGTTCCTGAAGGCCCTGCCCATCCCGCTGTACCACACCGTGCCTCCTGGGGGCCTCCAGCCACGGGCCCCCCTCGTAACCCGCAGCCTGGATGGAGGCAGCATGCCCTTCATCCTTAGCCCCCTGCTGCAGCCTGAAGGGCCTGGCCCTACCCAGGTGGGGAAGCCAGCGGCCCCAACGCTGACTGTGAACATCGTGGGCACTCTACCTGTCCTGTCACCAGGCCTGGGTCCCACGCTGGGCAGCCCAGGCAAGGTGCGGAATGCCGGCAAGCACCTGTGCCCGCACTGTGGCCGGGACTGCCTAAAGCCCAGCGTCTTGGAGAAGCACATCCGGTCGCACACGGGCGAGAGGCCGTTCCCGTGCGCCACCTGCGGCATAGCCTTTAAGACCCAGAGCAACCTGTACAAGCACAGGCGAACCCAGACCCACCTCAACAACTCCCGGCTGTCCTCAGAGTCCGAGGCTGGTGGGGGCAGCCTTCTGGAGGAGGGGGACAAGACCGGAGAGCCCTCCAGAGCGGACAGCAGTGGGGAAAGCCAAAGCCAGAGGCTGAGTGAGGGCGCGTCGCAGGGACCTCTTTCTCCAGACGCACACATGTCATTTGTTGCCAAGAACCTAGGTACGAAGACGGACGCTGTTCCCTGCCAAGGGTCCACACCTGCCGACAGAGAAGGGCCTGGGGACCCTGCCCACACCACGTCCCCCGGCCCCCCGCCGGCCGGCTCGCAGCCCTGGCGGAAGCTGCTGGAGCAGAGGTCCCCACCGGCCGGCAAGCCGAGTTCGCTGCAGCGGCAGCAGGCCACGTCGGAGAGGCCCTGGGACGTCAAGGCCTCCGAGGGCCGGCTGCGGAAGTGCGAGAGCACCGACTCGGGCTACCTGTCCCGCTCGGACAGCGCGGAGCAGCCGCCGGCGCCCCCCAGCCCCCTGCACAGCCTGTCGGAGCGCAGCGCCGAGTCCGAGGGCGAGGCGAGCCCGGGCTCGGGGCCCGGGGGCGCGCGGGCGGCCGGCCTGGAGCTGGAGAAGAGGCGGCTGGAGGAGCGCATCGCCCAGCTCATCTCGCACAACCAGGCGGTGGTGGACGACGCGCAGCTGGACACCGTGCGGCCCCGCAAGACCGGCCTGTCCAAGCAGGGCAGCATCGACCTGCCCATGCCCTACACCTACAAGGACTCCTTCCACTTCGACATCCGCGCGCCCGAGCCAGGCCGCAGGAGGGCGGCGCTCGGCCCAGCGCGCTCCACCTTGACGCCTCCGGACGCCTCTCGGCCCCTCTTCTTCCACTCCGTCCCCACCCAGCAGTCCACCGTGGAGTGCGTCCCCGTCACCAGGAGCAACTCGCTGCCCTTCGTGGAGGGCTCCAGGATGTGGCGGGAGCCACTGGGCCCTCAGGATGCCTGCCCCAGGACACAGAAGCCCCTGAGCCCCAGGCTCACCCCAGCCCGGCCGGGCTGCCGCTCGGGGCTGACCTGGGCTGCTGTCCCCAGTGGGCACCCTCGGGCCCTGGTCAGACAGGCTGCTGTGGAAGACCTGCCATGGACGCCCCCTGGAGACGCCCCGGGCCCTGCAGAGGACCAGGAGGGAAAGAGAACTACCACAGCGGAGGGGGCAGCCTGCAAGGGCAGAGCAGACAGCAAGAAATGCGGCCAGAGGAGGCTGAAGCTGTTCTCCCAGGAGAAGTGGCAAGTATATGGGAATGAGACGTTCAAGAGACTCTACCAGAAAATGAAAGCCAGCCCCCACAGGGGCAAGAAAGCCAGGGAGGTGAGAGCAGGCAGTAGGACAGAGCCGGACCTTCCTCCCAGAGAAGAGGCAGCAGGGGGCAATATCCCTGGGGACATCTCCGGAGGGGCTAGGCCAGAGCCTTGGGGAAGCCCTGGAGCCCCAGATGCCTCCCTGGTGACTGAGCCCCCTAAGCACAGGGAGACGGTGGCCAGAGCAGATGACAGTGACCAGCCCAGGGTGGACAGGGCTGTGTCCTCCCTTACACTTGGTGACAGAGACACCCCCTGTTTGGGCAGCAAGAGCCCTCTGTTTTCTCCAAATGGGAGGTGGGAACTGGGGCAGCAGCTGCCCCCAGCACCTGACTCCCTTAAAGGAGGTGACCTAGAGGCTCCCAAACTGGTTTTGCCAGACTCCAAGCTGGAAGAAGGCGCCCGAGGTGCTGGGGGCATGACGGAGACCTGCCCCTGGGCCCAAACCATCCTGATACGGCCCAGCAGTGGCCCTGGGGAGGACCGGCTCCGCTTGGAGAGGAAGAAGCTAAAAGTGGAGGCACTGGGCAGCTGGGAGCGACTGGAACCTGTGGGGGCACAGACCCCAGGGGTACCTGCACAGGCTGCCTCGCAGGAGCAGGACAGTGACCCCAGGGAGGCTCCAGGCAGGGAGCATGGGAGTGCCGGGCAGGCAGGCGAGCCCCTGGAGTCTTCTAGAGCTTCCTCTGCTGCTGCTTCTGTTGCTCTGAAGCAAGCGGGGCTGAGGGACCAGGTGCCCCCGTGGCATCCTGCAGCCCTGGTCCCCGGGCATCACACCCTGCCCGCTGCCCAGCCTCAGGCTCCCAGGGTCCATGCTGCCGCAACAGACAATGCCTTTTTCCCCAAGTACCTGCTCAGGTTACCTCGGGCAGAGGCCCCCTCTCCACTGCCCATTCCCCAGGGCCCTGGGCAAGGCCAGGACTCTCTCTGTAGGACTGGGTGGCCCAAGGAAGAGGTATCCTTTGTTGGACCAGGCCTGGGGACCCCCCTGTCTTGCAGCCCAGCCCTAGGGGCCCCCAGGGAGACCACCTCCTCTCCATCTACCCCCATGTGTGAGGCCCCCACGGCTCAGGACAGAGAGGGTGAGACTCGAGCCATTCATCACTTCTGTGTGGGCAGCACTTTCCCAAGGGCCAGGCCCTCTGGGGCTGCCCTGAGTCCCTGGGCACCCAGTTGGGAGCCCGGGGTACCTCCTGGGAAGGCCCTGGAAGACCGTCCATCAGGGCTCAATCCCTGCTGTTTCCTCCAGCCCAGCTCCTTCCTCACCGCCCTCCCTCAGCCCCAGGCCGTGCCCCCCAGCTGGCCCGAGCTGGCCTTGTCTTCCCACTCAGGGATCCCCAGGACCTGCAGGGACCAGAGCCCATTCCCCTCGCTGAAGGCCGAGCCCCAGCTCACGTGGTGTTGCTTGAGACGCAGCCTCCCTCTGCCCTCGGAGCAGAAGGGGAAGACGGTATCGGTGTACTCGGCCCTGCACTTCCCCGGTGGCGGCCTCCGGGATGAGGGTCCTGCCGCCCTGCCCGTGAGCGATGGAGGAGGGACCCGGACGAGGCCTGGAGAAGGAAGGCCAGCTCAGATACCCAAGGTAACGCCCAGCTTTGCCCAGGCCCCAGGGGCTGACAGATGCTTGGTGGGCAGGAAAGGAGTGTGAAGCCGTCCCCTGCAGCACGTGCTGGTTCCCAAGGAAGGATGGGGAAAGGATAAAGGGCAAAAATGCAAACCAAGCAAAACAAAGTCTTGGAAAGAAATAACTTTCCAAGGAAAGAATTATTATACCCGAGACTCTAGGTGAGATATTGTTCATAACTAGACATAACATTTAACTGAGCTTCCTGGGAACAGAGGCAAAAAAGTAAAAGGAAGCACTGCACCACGGAGGAGAGCTCTCTGGGTAATCCAAGAGCATAAAACAGAAACTTTTATTGAGAGATAGACTCTAGGCAAAAAGAAACAAAACAAAACAACAAACTCCTAGAAGGAGAGAGTCATTATACCAGAGGCTCTGGAGAAATAATCCCTATGAGTGGACCCAAACCTACCTTGGAGGTTCCTGGGAACAGCGATGCCCAAGGGTGTTTTCACTGGGTGATTAGGTGGTCAGTGTGTGTAGTTCCATCCCAGAGTGAGTCTGCACATTGGATTTAGTAACAGGGCTTAGTCCTGCTCTGGGGTGGCCTGGGCCAGGGCTGCTGAGAGGGGTCCCGGGCCCCCAGCTCTAATTTAACCCTATCGGACGACCCAGGCCTGGGGTCCAGAATCCTGGTCTGCTTTCTCTGGGCGGAGCCTGAAGGTGGAGGCAGTGCTTTCGTCATGCCCAGAGTGGCAGGTTAGTCCAGAGCAGGTTGAGTCTAAGATGGGGGCCCCAGGTCCAGTGCAGTCCTCCTGGTGGGAGGGAAAGGCAGCTGGCTCTGGTGTTTCCCAGGCCTCCCTCTGCAGACCCCGCCCAGGAGAAGTTTTAGAAGGTTTTGTTCAGGATGCTCTGCAGGTGCCTGCTGGGCACCTCTTAGGGGCCCAGGCTGTCTGTCCACGCAGCACGGCCATGCCCTGATTTCTGTAGATGCTTCCTGTCTGCGGACAGAGAGCCCTTCCCTTGGTGAGGGCCTTGAGCAACATGATGCCAATGTGCCTGGTATTTTCAGCTCTCCCACCCCACAGTCTCAGGGGTGATGTCCCAGGACCCCGTGTCTGAGCCAGAGCGGAAGAAAGGACCACCTCCTCAGAGGGCCAAGACGCCTCATCAGAGCGGCAAGCAGAGAAAACTAAAGATCAACCCCAAAAGGTAGGGTGTGAGGCTACCTCTGTCATTTCCACACGGGCCAGTGTTAGGAACTGCGAGTCACAATTTGGCTAAACCCCCCAGATGAACTTAGCATGGGATTTGAAAGACACCTCTGTGCTCTAGAGGAAGAGTTCCTGTTTTGCAGGGTCTGGAGTTTCAGAGAAAAGGACTGAGTCTGTTTCCCATCAGTCCGCCTGCAGAGCCCTCCCGCCGGTACCTTTCTCAGTGGTGCCTTTCTGAGGCTAGGGATCTAGCAAATATTTGAAATAACTGGGTCGAAAACACATCCGTCCAATTTAAGTCCTGAAGAGAGAACATGTTAATTATTTACAGCTTTTATCGCTTTTTAAATTATGCAAGCAATGTATGTCCTTTGCAGAAAAATAGACAATACAGATGAGCAAAGAGAAGACAATAAAACATCGTAGTCACCTGGCCACTCAGAGATAAGGACCGTTAACATTTAAGGGTACACCTTTCCAGACTTTTCTTTGCAACATGCACATGCACGTATCTACCAACAACAAATGGAGGGACACGTGGATTTTAATACCATTCTTTCATGACGTCACTGTTGGATTATCTTGCTCCTTTGCCCAAAACCCTTTAGGCTGCCCATTACGTATAAATTAAAAAATAGATTCTTTAACTAGCCCCTACCCGCTTTCTGTCCCCCAGAAAGTTTTTGGTCTCATTTGCCCACAATCTCCTCCCTCCCACTCAGTGTGATTTGGTGCCGCCTTTGCCCTCACCCCAGTCCCTACGCCATACTCTGAACCTAGATCTCTGGCAATGCGATCCGTCCCCCACATTCAGGCTGTCAACATTCTGCCCTTCCTGGGATGGGTGTAGCCTTCCCTCCCTGCTGTCGATATTTTATCCAAAGCCCAGATATCCTTCAAGGGGCAACACACATTCCTAGCCCTCCCCTGCAGCTGCTCAGAACCTGGTGGCTGGAGATGACCTCTCCTCTTAAGTCCCCCTCTCTGCTGGGACTACACATCCAGAAGTGACATTGCCGATCTGAGCGCTTGCTATGTGCCAGGCACAGTACTCATTGTGGTGTTGTGTGCATTGCCTCGTTAGATCCTACAGGGACTGCATGACGCCGATGGCGTTATTAGCCCCGTTGTTCTCATGAGGATACTGACATGGAGAGATCAGACCACCTCCCCAAGGACCCAGATTTGAACCAACAAGTGTCATTCCCCAGCTGAGACTAGGCATTCTAGTGGCCTGGAGTTTCCTGCAGTCGGATTCAGCAGGTCTGGGGTGGGGCCTGAGACTCTGCGTTTCCAGCACGCGCCGGTGAGCTGCTGGCACCGGCCCGTGAGCACGCTTGCAGAGGTGAAGGTTCATGCTGCTCAAACCACTTGTCTTTCCCAATGCCCATCATTTTTTTGACACATGCTTTATTTCATGGGTCATTCTGGACCCTTGGGACAGAAGCCCAACTCAAAGTAGCCTGAACAAAAGAAGGAACACTGCCTGTATAACAGGGACTTCTAGGCCTAAGCCATCAGCCCTAACCCCGACAGACCTGGTGGAGTGGGGAGGGACAGTCCCCCAAGGGAAACTTCAGAGGAAGGGGGATGCATGCCATCCAGACCAAAGAGTAGCTGCCTGGGGCTCTTTGAGCACAGGGATGTTGGCACTTGATTGTTACTCCCTGAGCATCTGACTAACGAGGAAACACCAAATTACTCCAAATGACAACTGTGGAGCCTGAGGACTTGGGGAGAGGAAGGGCGGGGTGCCTCATTAACAGCTCTCGCCTTCCCAAGACTTTGACAAACATTCCTGTGTACCTGCTGTGTGCCAGGCGCCCACACATGGAGGCTATTGGGGACAATTTCTCAAGCAAGGCCGGGGCTCCCGGAGGGTCTCCAGCATGCCTTGAGATGTCTCTCTGGGATCCCTTGCGAACCCACCCGCAGTTCTTGGGCCAACATAGTCTGTTCAAGAACCTCGCTCATGAGGCCAGCATTAGGGACTCCATTCCTTCACCCACAGGGAAAGGAGTTCCTCCAACAGCCAGCCTGGCCAGCTGTTGATTTTAGCCTGTGAGATGCTGGGCAGATCAGCCAGTCAGGCCACACCTGGGTGTCTGACCTCTGTCGTGGTTAAGCTGCTGAATTAGTGGCGATGTGCTGTGCAGCACAGGAACCAATACAGATGTATACCACCAGTATACCCATTTTAAAGATTGGGAAATGAAGACCCAAAACATGGAAGTAAATCAGCTAAGGCCACATAGCTATTTAGGGCAGAGCTGAGCTGGCACTCAGAGGATTATCCTGAGGCTTCCATGAGGTCAGGCATGAGAAGTCCTTCGCACGTGCTTGGCAAATGGTAAGGGCTCCCCATAAATGCTGCTTATTATTCTTGTGCTTAGAAGATGGAATCGTAGATCCAGGCCAATGCACTTGTTGTCCAGATGGGAAAACGGATGGGCTTAGGATGGGCTTGCCTGAGGTCATGCAGTGACCCTGAGCCTGAGGCACTGGGCCTCACTGCAGAACTGCTGTTTCTGAAGCAGGTGCCTTTGCAGCCCCGACACCAGCAGGGAGGTGAGGCCTTGGGGGCAGCAGCAGTGTCCTCTCAGTTCAGCTGGGTAAGAGCGACTTCCATTGACACACAGGCTGCCAGCTGGCTCCCAGGCAAGGTCAGAGCCCTCACACAGGCACAGAATCACGTGGGCATGCCAGCGAAGGCCTGAATTTGCAGGAACGCTGGTCTGTCCAGGCCGTGCCCATCAGGATGGGAGTGGGGCCTCCTCAAGGGAACGGAGGCCCCACTTTGCTTATCTTGAAGTGGGTCCAATTCCAATGTCTTTCTTTCAACACCTTTTACCATTTGGACAAGATTTTAAGAGTGATTTCTTGTCTGTGATCTCATCAGATCCTTAAAAGGATTCTCCGAGGTGCAGGTTTTTATTATCCATCTTATAGATAAGGGAACAGTGGTTTAAAGAACTTAAATGTGTATCCATTTTCTATGAAATGTAACAAATTACCATATCATGGGATAAAACGACACCCATTTCTTATCTCAGAGGTTCTGCAGGTCAGAAGTCTGGGCATAGTTCAGGTGCAACCTCTGCTAAGGCCTCACAAGGCTGATTTCAAGGTGTCAGCTGGGCTGCACTCTCCTCTGGAGGCTCGACCAGGGAAGGATCTGCCCTCAAGACCCCTCAGACTGTTGGAAGGATTCATTTCTGAGGCATGGAATTCATGGCAGCTTACTTCTTAAAAGCTAACAATGGAGACAGTGTCTCTGACCTCAGAACCCATTCCTAAAGGGTTCACCTGATTAGGTAAGGCCCACCCAGGACAATCTACCTTCTGATTAGGGACTTTAATTGCATCAGCAAAGTACCCTTACTGTTGCCATATTCTGTTAGAAGGAAGTTACAGGTTCTATGCATACCGAAGGAAGGGTGTGACTCATGGGGGTCACCCCAGGGTGTGTCTGCAACAAAGGGCTTTCCTAGGCTAACCTGGCTAGTAGAATTAGGATTCTGAGTTTCAGATTCAGTATTTTCCATCATCAGCTCCCATCATTATACAAGAAAGTTTTTAGCAGTTGCTAAGACTTGCGCTTTTAATGTGTGGGGCACATCTTTGACTGGGGAGGTGTTTTATAAGAGAGTATGCTACCGGACGTACAGGGAAAGGGTTCTCTTTAAAGAGAAATTTCTTAATAAGCCATTGGTTGGACAGCATTTGGCCTGCAAAGATTTAATAAAGGAGACTACCAGTTTGTTTGATCCACATAAAGTCTCAAATTTAATTAATTTTCTGGTGATGAAGTCACATGGTTAGATGATAGAGCTTCTTGAAGAAATATCCCCTCCCATTCTCCTTCACGTCTGGCTAATCTTCAGAGACGTGGAGTCCGTGTCCAGTTCTGAGTGCTGGTGTTGGGAAAATACTGGGAGGTGACCCCTAATTCTAAAAGTGCTTCCAATTCACTGTTCAGGAGGCTATACATAGAACTTGTTTTTTTCTCTTCAAAAGGACTACACATATTGAAATCCATCTTATTTTTCACATGGCAATTTATGATCAATTTATAACATAGGATTTGTTTTACAAATATTTACTTTGCAGATAACCAGACAGAAAAACTTCTATATGTTGAAGTAAGAGATCTGTTTGCCTGCCTGCCTGCCTGTCTGTATTAGTTTTCTGTTGCTGCTGTAGCAAATCACCAAACTTTGTGTGCTGTTTTAAATGGCACACATTTATCACTTTACAGTTCTGTAGGTTAAAAGTCCATCATGGGTCTCACTGGACTAAAATCAAAGTGCCAAGGGCTGCATTCCTTTCTGGAGGGTCCAGGGGAGACTCAGGTTCCTGCACATTCGGGCCATGGGCAGAATTCAGTTCCTTAGCTCGTAGCTCCCCTCCCTCCGTATCCCAAACCACTGAGGTTAGGTTGAGAGCTCTCACACTTTCTTTCTTTATTTATTTATTTTCTTTTCTTCATGCTACCTTGTCTAAGACCTTCTCTCCTTCCTCTTCATTCTCATCTCTCTGACCCAATCTTCTGCCTCTTCTTTCATTTTTAAGGACTGATGTGATTAGATTGGGCTCACCTGGTGAGTCTGGGGTAATCTCACCATCTGGAGGTCAGCAGCCCTAATCACATCTTCAAACGCCCTTTTGCCATATAAAGTAATATATTCAAAGGTTCTGGGGATTTGGACATGGACATCTTTCGGGGGGAGGTCTTTATTCTGCCTTCCATACTATCCATCCACCCACCCACCCTCATATGTTATGTATGTAGATATTTATCCATTCATACACCCACCCACCTATGTATCTATCTATCATCTAACTCTTGTGTCCTTTCCTCAAAAAAGAAGCCTACTTCTTGATTCATTTTCCCATTTTTGCTTCAGTTGTCTTAATACAATATTACCTTGTATGTCATATTTATATTATATAGAAAATAAAAATTAAAACAGTAATTACATAGTTTTATGCTTTTGG